GTGCATTCCCATGGGATTGAGGTCCCCCCACACTGGTGTTCCAGCCCATTCCCATGGGATTGAGGTCCCCCCACACTGGTGTTCCAGCCTATTCCCATGGGATTGAGGTCCCTCCACAGTGATGCTCCAGCACACTCCCATGGGATTGAGGTCCCCCCACACTGGTGTTCCAGCCCATTACCATGGGATTGAGGTCCCCCCACACTGGTGTTCCAGCCTATTCCCATGGGATTGAGGTCCCTCCACAGTGATGCTCCAGCACACTCCCATGGGATTGAGGTCCCTCCACAGTGATGCTCAGGAACATTCCCATGGGATTGAGGTCCCTCCACAGTGATGCTCCAGCCCATTCCCATGGGACTGAGGTCCCCCCACACTGGTGTTCCAGTGCATTCCCATGGGATTGAGATCCCCCCACACTGGTGTTCCAGCCCATTCCCATGGTACTGAGATATCCCCACAGTGGTGTTCCAGTGCATTCCCATGGGATTGAGGTCCCTCCACAGTGATGCTCCAGCACATTCCCATGGGATTGAGGTCCCCCCACACTGGTGTTCCAGTGCATTCCCATGGGATTGAGGTCCCTCCACAGTGGTGTTCCAGCCCATTCCCATGGGAGCAGGGTCCACATTGAGGGTGCAGAGCATTCCCATTGAATTGAGGTCCCCCCACGCTGGGGGTGCAGAGCATTCCCATGGGATTAAACAGCCCTGCAGCCCATTCCCATAGAATTAAACAGCCCTGCAGCCCATTCCCATGGGATTAAACAGCGCTGCAGCCCATTCCCATGGGATTAAGCAGCGCTGCAGCCCATTCCCATGGGATTAAGCAGCCCTGCAGCCCATTCCCATGGGATTAAACAGCCCTGCAGCCCATTCCCATGGGATTAAGCAGCCCTGCAGCCCATTCCCATGGGATTAAGCGGCCCTGCAGCCCATTCCCATAGGATTAAACAGCGCTGCAGCCCATTCCCATGGGATTAAACAGCGCTGCAGCCCATTCCCATGGGATTAAGCAGCCCTGCAGCCCATTCCCATGGGATTAAGCAGCGCTGCAGCCCATTCCCATGGGATTAAACAGCACTGCAGCCCATTCCCATGGGATTAAGCAGCCCTGCAGCCCATTCCCATGGGATTAAGCAGCACTGCAGCCCATTCCCATGGGATTAAACAGCGCTGCAGCCCATTCCCATGGGATTAAACAGCGCTGCAGCCCATTCCCATGGGATTAAGCAGCCCTGCAGCCCATTCCCGTAGAATTAAACAGCCCTGCAGCCCATTCCCATGGGATTAAGCAGCACTGCAGCCCGTTCCCATGGGATTAAGCAGCGCTGCAGCCCATTCCCATAGGATTAAACACCGCTGCAGCCCATTCCCATGGGATTAAACACCGCTGCAGCCCATTCCCATAGGATTAAACAGCGCTGCAGCCCATTCCCATGCGATTAAGCAGCGCTGCAGCCCATTCCCATGGGATTAAACAGCGCTGCAGCCCATTCCCATGGGATTAAATGGCTCTGCAGCCCATTCCCATGGGATTAAACAGCCCTGCAGCCCATTCCCATAGAATTAAACAGCCCTGCATCCCATTCCCATAGGATTAAACAGCCCTGCAGCCCATTCCCATGGGATTAAACAGCCCTGCAGCCCATTCCCATGGGATTAAACAGCACTGCAGCCCATTCCCATGGGATTAAGCAGCCCTGCAGCCCACTCCCATGGGATTAAGCAGCCCTGCAGCCCATTCCCATGGGATTAAACAGCCCTGCAGCCCATTCCCATGGGATTAAGCAGCACTGCAGCCCATTCCCATGGGATTAAGCAGCGCTGCAGCCCATTCCCATGGGATGAAACAGCGCTGCAGCCCATTCCCATGGGATTAAACAGCCCTGCAGCCCATTCCCATGGGATTAAACAGCGCTGCAGCCCATTCCCATGGGATTAAACAGCGCTGCAGCCCATTCCCATAGGATTAAGCAGCACTGCAGCCCATTCCCATGGGATTAAACAGCCCTGCAGCCCACTCCCATGGGATTAAGCAGCCCTGCAGCCCATTCCCATAGAATTAAACAGCACTGCAGCCCATTCCCATGGGATTAAACAGCGCTGCAGCCCATTCCCATGGGATTAAACAGCCCTGCAGCCCATTCCCATGGGATTAAGCTCTTCCCCCCGTTCCCAGATGGCATTCCGGTACCTCTCCTGGATCCTCTTCCCGCTCCTCGGCTGCTACGCCGTGTACAGCCTGCTCTACCTGGAGCACAAGGGCTGGTACTCCTGGGTGCTCAGCATGCTCTACGGCTTCCTGCTCACCTTCGGTGAGTGCCGCGCCGGCAGCGCCGCGCCGCAGCCCGGCCTCGGGAGCCGGGATGTTGGGATGGGGGCTCACCCCCAACCCCCCCAAATTCCCACAGGATTCATCACCATGACCCCCCAGCTCTTCATTAACTACAAGCTGAAGTCGGTGGCGCACCTGCCCTGGAGGATGCTCACCTACAAAGCGCTCAACACCTTCATCGACGACCTCTTCGCCTTCGTCATCAAGATGCCCATGATGTACAGGATAGGCTGCCTGCGAGATGGTATGGGATGGGGGGGGGGCCCTATGGCTGCCTATGGGGTCCTGGGGGGTACCTCCTGTTCCTTTATGGGGTCCTGGAGGGTCCCTTCTGGTGCTTATGGGGTCCTGGGGGGTCCCTTCTGGTGCTTATGGGGTCCTGGGGGGTCCCTTCTGGTGCTTATGGGGTCCTGGGGGGTCCCTTCTGGTGCTTATGGGGTCCTGGAGGGTCCCTTCTGGTGCTTATGGGGTCCTGGGGGGTCCCTTCTGGTGCTTATGGGGTCCTGGGGGGTCCCTTCTGGTGCTTATGTGGTCCTGGAGGGTCCCTTCTGGTGCTTATGGGGTCCTAGGGGGATCCCTCCTGCTCCTTATGAGGTCCTCGAGGGTCCCTTCTGGTGCTTATGGGGTCCTGGGGGGTCCCTCCTGTTCCTTATGGGGTCCTGCGGGGGATCCCTCCTGCTCCTTATGAGGTCCCTGAGGGTCCCTTCTGGTGCTTATGGGGTCCTAGGGGGGTCCCTCTTGTTCCTTTATGGGGTCCTAGGGGGGTCTCTCCTGTCCCTTTAAGGGGTTCTGGGCTGGGGTCCTGGGGGGTCCCTCCTGTTCCTTTATGGGGTCCTAGGGGGTCCCTCCTGTTCCTTATGGGGTCCTGGGAGGTCGCTCCTGTTCCTTATGGGGTCCTGGGGGGTCCCTCCTGTTCCTTATGGGGTCGTGGGGGGTCCCTCCTGTTCCTTATGGGGTCCTGGGGGTCCCTCCTGTTCCTTATGGGGTCCTAGGGGGTTCCTCTTGTTCCTTTAAGGGGTTCTGGGGGGGTCCCTCCTGCTGGTTATGGGGTCCTGGGGGGTCCCTCCTGTTCCTTATGGGGTCCTGGGTGGGTCCCTCCTGTTCCTTGTGGGGTCCGAGGGGGTCCCTCCTGTTCCTTATGGGGTCCTGGGGGGGTCCCTCCTCTTCCTTTATGGGGTCCTGGGGGTCCCTCCTGTTCCTTATGGGGTCCTGGGAGGTCGCTCCTGTTCCTTATGGGGTCCTGGGGGGTCCCTCCTGTTCCTTATGGGGTCGTGGGGGGTCCCTCCTGTTCCTTATGGGGTCCTGGGGGTCCCTCCTGTTCCCTTATGGGGTCCTAGGGGGTTCCTCTTGTTCCTTTAAGGGGTTCTGGGGGGGTCCCTCCTGCTGGTTATGGGGTCCTGGGGGGTCCCTCCTGTTCCTTATGGGGTCCTGGGTGGGTCCCTCCTGTTCCTTGTGGGGTCCGAGGGGGTCCCTCCTGTTCCTTATGGGGTCCTGGGGGGGTCCCTCCTCTTCCTTTATGGGGTCCTGGGGGTCCCTCCTGTTCCTTATGGGGTCCTGGGGGGTCCCTCCTGTTCCTTATGGGGTCGTGGAGGCTCCCCCCTGTTCCTTTATGGGGTCCGGGGGGGGTCCCTCCTGTGCCTTATGGGGTCCTGGGGGGTCCCTCCTGTTCCTTATGGGGTCCTGGGGGGGTCCCTCCTGTTCCTTATGGGGTCCTGGGGGGTCCCTCGTGTTCCTTATGGGGTCCTGGAGGGTCTCTCCTGTTCCTTTATGGGGTCCTGGGGGGTCCCTCCCGTTCCTTATGGGTTCCAGGGGGTCCCCCCTTGTCCCCCTTGACCCCTGTGTCCCCCCCCAGACGTGGTGTTCTTCATTTACCTGTACCAGCGCTGGATCTACCGCGTGGACCTGACCCGCGTCAACGAATTCGGGCTCAGTGGGGAGGACACGGTCACCCCCCCGCCCCCCCACCCCAGCCCCCCCCCCACAGTGCTGGCCCCCAAACCTCCAGAGGACAAGAAGAAGGATTAACCCCCCCCCCCCATGCTCGGGTTTTTACCAGCCCCCTATGGGGCACCCCATGGAGGGGAAGGGGGGGGGGCGGGAGCAGCCGGTTTGGGTGGGGGTGTCCCCCCCCACCCCCCCCTTTTGGGGAGTTGGGGGGTTCGGGGAGGGGGGGGGGGCAGTCCGTGTGTCCCCCCCTCTCCGTGTGTCACGTTCCCTTGTGCTCCATCCCATTGTGCCGGTGTGTAGGACAGTGTCACCGAGGTGTCGCCGCGTCCATAAAGAGCTGATTGAACCCCAACAGCGGCCCCCAACTTTGGGGTACAGTGTGGGGGGGGACGTGGGGGTGACCTGGTGTGTCCCTGTCACGGCTATCGCGATAGGGAAGGGATGGGAGGGGGGGGTTCTTGTCTCCCCCGTTGTGCCTCCAACGCGCCCGTGCTCCCCACGCGGCCAAAGCGCGCCACGGAGGAGGCGTTTCCCCGCGCTTTAGCCCGGCCAATCAGCGTGCTCGTGGTCGCTGAATGATAGCGCCGCAGCCAATCGCTGCGTCCCGCCCCTGCGTTATTCCCGCCCCCGTGGCGGGGAAATGAGCCGGGCAGGGGGTGTATCCCAGCGCTTTAACCCAGCCAATCAGCGCAGGGCTTGGCAGCGCCGTAGCCAATCGCTGCGTCCCGTCCCTGCCTTAATCCCGCCCCCGTGGCGGGAAAAGCGAGCCGGGCAGGGGGTGTATCCCAGCGCTTTAACCCAGCCAATCAGCGCGGGGCTTGGCAGCGCCGTAGCCAATCGCTGAGCCCCGTCCTCGCGGTGATGGCGGCGGCCGAGGACGCGGCTCCGGTGCTGAAGGAGGGACCCGGGGAGCGCCCGGTACCGGGACACGGGGGGGGGGAAGAGGCGGATCCAGGAGGGAAAACCGGGATTTGGGGGGGGGGATCCCGGAATCATTGGGATGGGGGAGAGAGGGATAATGGGGTACAGGGGTAACGGGGGGAGTGGGGTAATGGGGGTACCGGGAGAGCAACGGGGGTAATGGGGGTACCGGGAGAGCAATAGGGGGGTAATGGGGTACCGGGAGAGCAATGGGGGGTAATGGGGGTACCGGGAGAGCAGTGAGGGGTAATGGGGGTACCGGGAGAGCAATAGGGGGGTAATGGGGGTACGGGGAGAGCAATGGGGGGGTAATGGGGGTAAGGGGAGAGCAATGGGGGGGTAATGGGGGTACCGGGAGAGCAACGGGGGGTAATGGGGGTACCGGGAGAGCAGTGAGGGGTAATGGGGGTACCGGGAGAGCAGTAGGGGGGTAATGGGATGGCAGGAGAGCAGGGTAATGGGGTACTGAGATGATGGGGATAGCAGGAATGCCAGGACAGTGTGATAATGGGGATACCAGGATAGCGGGAATAGCAGGATAGAGGGAATAGCAGGATAGTGTGATGATGGGGATAGCAGGATAGAGGGAATACCAGGAGAGCAAGAAAGAGGGATAATGGGATACCCAGACACTGGGGATGCCAGGGGAGCAGGAGCGAGGGATCATGGGGATAGCAGGATCATGGGAATACCAGGACAGTGTGATGATGGGGATAGCAGGATAGCGGGAATACCAGGATAGAGGGGATACCAGGACAGTGTGATGATGGGGATAGCAGGATAATGGGGATAGCAGGATAGCGGGAATACCAGGATAGAGGGGATACCAGGACAGTGTGATGATGGGGATAGCAGGATAGAGGGGATACCAGGAGCGCAAGAAAGAGGGATAATGGGATACCCAGACACTGGGGATGCCAGGGGAGCAGGAGCGAGGGATAATGGGGATAGCAGGATCATGGGAATACCAGGACAGTGTGATGATGGGGATAGCAGGATAGAGGGAATACCAGGAGAGCAAGAAAGAGGGATAATGGGATACCCAGATACTGGGGATGCCAAGGGAGCAGGAGCGAGGGATCATGGGGATAGCAGGATCATGGGAATACCAGGACAGTGTGATGATGGGGATAGCAGGATAGAGGGAATACCAGGATAGAGGGAATACCAGGACAGTGTGATGATGGGGATACCAGGATAGCAGGAATACCAGGATAGAGGGAATACCAGGACAGTGTGATGATGGGGATACCAGGATAGAGGGAATACCAGGATAGAGGGAATGCCAGGACAGTGTGATGATGGGGATAGCAGGATAGCGGGAATACCAGGATAGAGGGAATACCAGGACAGTGTGATGATGGGGATAGCAGGATAATGGGGATACCAGGATAGAGGGGATACCAGGACAGTGTGATGATGGGGATAGCAGGATAATGGGGATACCAGGAGCGCGAGAAAGAGGGACAATGGGATACCCAGACACTGGGGATGCCAGGGGAGCAGGAGCGAGGGATCATGGGGATAGCAGGATCGTGGGACCCCAGGAGTGAGGGATAACGGGATAACGGGGATCAAAGGCCAATGGGGATCGTGGGGGTGTCCGGAGCTCACCCTCCCCCCCCGTCAGGTCCCGTCGGTGCCTCCGGATCCCAAGGAGCAGGAGCCGGAGCCGGGGGGGGGGATCCCCGGGGCCGCCCCCCCCCAAGCCCGGCCCCGGAGCAGCAGCATCGTGGTCAGCCCGCGGCAGGTGAGCCCCAGAGCTGCCCTCCCATTGGCTGGGAGCCCCCAGGCTGCCCTCCCATTGGCTGGGATCTACCTAGAGCTGCCCTCCCATTGGCTGGGAGCCCCCAGAGCTGCCCTCCCATTGGCTGGGATCTACTTAGAGCTGCCCTCCCACTGGCTTGCAGCTGCTGCAGCTGCCCTCCCATCGACTGGGATCTGCACAGAGCTGCCCTCTCATTGGCTGGGATCTACCCAGACCTGCCCTCCCATTGGCTTGGAGCTGCTGCAGCTGCCCTCCCATTGGCTGGCATCTACACAGAGCTGCCCTCACATTGGCTGGGAGCCCCCACGCTGCCCTCCCATTGCCTGGGATCTGCAGACCTGCTCTCTCATTGGCTGGGATCTGCACAGACGTGCCCTCCCATTGGCTGGGAGCCCCCAGGCTGCCCTCCCATTGGCTGAGGTCTACCCAGGCCTGCCCTCCCATTGGCTTGGACCTGCTGCACCTGCCCTCCCATTGACTGGGATCTACCTGGAGCTGCCCTCCCATTGGCTGGGATCTACCTGGAGCTGCCCTCCCATTGGCTGGAGTCTATGCAGAGCTGCCCTCCCATTGGCTGGGAGCTGCTGCAGGTGCCCTTCTATTGGCTGGGTTCTACACAGAGCTGCCCTCCTATTGGCTGGGAGCTTCTGCAGGTGCCCTTCTATTGGCTGGGTTCTGCACAGAGCTGCCCTCCCATTGGCTGGGATCTACCTAAATCTGCCCTCCCATTGGCTGGGAGGTGCTGCAGGTGCCCTCTCATTGCCTGGGATCTACCCAGACCTGCCCTCCCATTGGCTGGTATCTACCTAGAGCTGCCCTCCCATTGGCTGGGAGCCCCCAGGCTGCCCTCCCATTGGCTGGGGTCTACACAGAGCCGCCCTCCCATTGGCTTAGAGCTGCTGCAGCTGCCCTCCCATTGACTGGAATCTGCACAGAGCTGCCCTCCCATTGGCTGGGATCTACCTAGAGCTGCCCTCCCATTGGCTTGGAGCTGCTGCAGCTGCCCTCCCATTGGCTGGGGTCTACACAGAGCTGCCCTCCCATTGGCTGGGAGCTGCTGCAGCTGCCCTCCCATTGACTGGGATCTGCACAGAGCTGCCCTCCCATTGGCTGGGATCTCCCTAGATCTGCCCTCCCATTGGCTGGGAGGTGCTGCAGGTGCCCTCTCATTGCCTGGGATCTACCCAGACCTGCCTTCCCATTGGCTAGGATCTGCCTAGAGCTGCCCTCCCAGTGGGTGGGATCTACCCAGACCTGCCTTCCCATTGGCTGGTATCTACCTCGAGCTGCCCTCCCATTGGCTGGGATCTGCACAGAGCTGCCCTCCCATTGGCTGGAATCTACCTCGAGCTGCCCTCCCATTGGCTGGGATCTGCACAGAGCTGCCCTCCCATTGGCTGGATGCCCCAGACCTGCACTCCCATTGGCTGGGAGCCTCCAGATTTCCCCCTCCCATTGGCTGAGATCTACCTAGAGCTGCCCTCCCACTGGCTGGGATATGCCCCCCCCCGTCCCCGACCTTCCTCTCCCATTGGCTCGCAGACTCTTCCTCCCATTGGCTGGGAGCTGACACCCACCCAAGTGCCTCCTCCCATTGGCTGAAATCCCACCCAGCCGCCTCCTCCCATTGGCTGGCGCCAGGATCCCTCCCCTAAGCCCACGGGGACGAGCCTGGGCCCATGGGGGGGATCTGTCCCTGCTGCTGTGGGGCAGGGGGGGGCACTTGGGGACCCCCAACCGTTGCCCCCCCCCCCCCCCCAGCGAGGGAACCCGGTGCTGCGCTTCATCCGCAACGTCCCATGGGAGTACGGGGACGTCGTCGCCGACTACGTCCTGGGGCAGAGCTCCTGCGCCCTCTTCCTCAGGTGACGGGGGTCAGGGGGTGTCAATGGGTGTCCCATGGGTGTCAGTGGGTGTCCCATGGCTGTCAATGGGTGTCCCATGGGTGTCAATGGGTGTCCCATGGGTGTCAATGGGTGTCCCATGGGTGTCAATGGGTGTCCCATGGGTGTCAATGGGTGTCCCATGGGTGTCAATGGGTGTCAGTGGGTGTCCTATGGGTGTCCCATGGGTGTCAGTGGGTGTCCCATGGGTGTCAATGGGTGTCCCGTGGGTGTCAGTGGGTGTCCATGGGTGTCCCATGGGTGTCCCATGAGTGTTAATGGGTGTCCCATGGGTGTCAATGGGTGTCCCATGGGTGCCAGTAGGTGTCCCATGGGTGTTAATGGGTGTCCCATGGGTGCCAGTAGGTGTCAGTGGGTGTCAATGGGTGTCCCATGGGTGTCAATGGGTGTCCCATGGGTGTCAGTGGGTGTCCCATGGGTGTCAATGGGTGTCCCATGGGTGTCAATGGGTGTCCCATGGGTGTTCCATGGGTGTCAATGGGTGTCCCATGGGTGTCAGTGGGTGTCCCATGGGTGTCCCATGGGTGTTAATGGCTGTCAATGGATGTCCCATGGGTGTCAATGGGTGTCAGTGGGTGTCCCATGGGTGTCCCATGGGTGTCCCATGGGTGTTAATGGCTGTCAATGGATGTCCCATGGGTGTCAATGGATGTCCCATGGGTGTCAGTGGGTGTCCCATGGGTGTCAGTGGGTGTCCCATAGGTGTCAATGGGTGTCCCGTGGGTGTCGGTGGGTGTCCATGGGTGTCCCATGGGTGTGAATGGGTGTCCCATGGGTGTGAATGGGTGTCCCATGGGTGTCAATGGGTGTCAATGGGTGTCCCATGGGTGTCCCATGGGTGTTAATGGGTGTCCCATGGGTGTCCCATGGCTGTCAATGGGTGTCCCATGGGTGTCAATGGGTGTCCCATGGCTGTCAATGGGTGTCCCATGGGTGTCAGTGGGTGTCCCATGGGTGTTAATGGGTGTCCCATGGGTGTCCAATGGGTGTCAATGGGTGTCCCATGGGTGTCAGTGGGTGTCCCATGGGTGTCAATGGGTGTCAGTGGGTGTCCATGGGTGTCCCATGGGTGTTAATGGGTGTCCCATGGGTGTCAATGGGTGTCCCATGGGTGTCAATGGGTGTCAGTGGGTGTCCATGGGTGTCAATGGGTGTCCCATGGGTGTTAATGGGTGTCCCATGGGTGTCAATGGGTGTCCCATGGGTGTCAATGCGTGTCCCATGGGTGTTAATGGGTGTCAATGGGTGTCCCATGGGTGTCAATGGGTGTCCCATGGGTGCCAGTAGGTGTCCCATGGGTGTTAATGGGTGTCCCATGGGTGTTAATGGGTGTCCCATGGGTGCCAGTAGGTGTCAGTGGGTGTCAATGGGTGTCCCATGGGTGTCAATGGGTGTCCCATGAGTGTTAATGGGTGTCCCATGGGTGTCAATGGGTGTCCCATGGGTGCCAGTAGGTGTCCCATGGGTGTCAATGGGTGTCCTATGGGTGTTAATGGGTATCAGTGGGTGTCAATGGGTGTCCCATGGGTGCCAGTGGGTGTCAATGGGTGTACCACGCGTGTCTAATGTTTGTCAGTGGGTGTCCTATGGGTGTTAATGGGTATCCCATGGGTGTCAGTGGGTATCATTGGGTACCAGTGGGTACCAATGGGTGCCAATGGGTACCAATGGGTGTCGGTGGGTGTCAGTGGGTATCATTGGGTACCAGTGGGTACCAATGGGTACCAATGGGTGTTGGTGGGTACCAATGGGTGCCAATGGGTGTCGGTGGGTGCCAATGGGTGTCGGTGGGTACCAATGGGTGCCAGTGGGTACCAGTGGGTGTCGGTGGGTACCAATGGGTGCCAATGGGTGCCAATGAGTACCAATGGGTGCCAATGGGTGTCTCTGGGTGCCCCAGCCTGCGCTACCACCACCTTCACCCCGATTACATCCATCAGCGCCTGCGGGAGCTGGGCCGGGGCTTCGTGCTGCGGGTGCTGCTGCTGCAGGTGGACGTGGTGAGAGCAGACAGCCCCATCCCGGGGTGCCAGCATCCCATACATCCCTTATCCCATACATCCCATATCCCATACATCCCTTATCCCATACATCCCATATCCCATACATCCCATATCCCATGGGGCCTTATCCCATACATCCCATATCCCATACATCCCTTATCCCATACATCCCATATCCCATGGGGCCTTATCCCATATCCCATACATCCCATATCCCATGGGGCCTTATCCCATACATCCCGTATCCCATACATCCCGTATCCCATACATCCCTTATCCCATACATCCCTTATCCCATACATCCCATACCCCATGGGGCCTTATCCCATACATCCCATATCCCATGGGCCCCTTATCCCATACATCCCATATCCCATGGGGCCTTATCCCATACATCCCATATCCCATACATCCCTTATCCCATACATCCCATATCCCATGGGGCCTTATCCCATATCCCATACATCCCATATATCCCATATCCCATGGGCCCCTTATCCCATACATCCCATATCCCATACATCCCTTATCCCATACATCCCATATCCCATACATCCCTTATCCCATACATCCCATATCCCATGGGGCCTTATCCCATACATCCCTTATCCCATGGGCCCCTTATCCCATACATCCCATATCCCATACATCCCATATCCCATGGGCCCCTTATCCCATACATTCCATATCCCATACATCCCTTATCCCATACATCCCATATCCCATGGGGCCTTATCCCATGGGCCCCTTATCCCATACATCCCATATCCCATACATCCCATATCCCATGGGCCCCTTATCCCATACATCCCATATCCCATACATCCCTTATCCCATACATCCCATATCCCATGGGCCCCTTATCCCATACACCCCTTATCCCATGGGCCCCTTATCCCATGTATTCCTTATCCCATACATCCCATATCCCATGGGCCCCTTATCCCATACATCCCTTATACCATGGGCCCCTTATCCCATACATCCCTTATCCCATGGGCCCCTTATCCCATACATCCCTTATCCCATACATCCCTTATCCCATGGGCCCCTTATCCCATACATCCCTTATCCCATACATCCCTTATCCCATACACCCCTTATCCCATGGGCCCCTTATCCCATACACCCCTTATCCCATGGGCCCCTTATCCCATACACCCCTTATCCCATGGGTCCCTTATCCCATGGGTCCCTTATCCCATACATCCCTTATCCCATACATCCCTTATCCCATGGGCCCCTTATCCCATACATCCCTTATCCCATGGGTCCCTTATCCCATACATCCCATATCCCATACATCCCATATCCCATACATCCCTTATCCCATGGGCCCCTTATCCCATGTGCCCTTTATCCCATGTACCCTTATCCCTGTATCTCTGTATCCCTGTATCCCTCATCCCTCACCCCACATCTCCCCCTCTCCCTATGGCCACAGAAGGATCCCCAGCGAGCACTGAAGGACCTGGCCAAGATTTGTGTCCTGAGCGACTGCACCCTCCTGCTGGCCTGGAGGTACGGGGGGGCCCCACTGTCACCTATGGGGGGGACCCCACTGTCACCTATGGGGGGGGACCCCACTGTCACCTATGGACACCCCACTGTCACCTATGGACACCCCACTGTCACCTATGGGGGGGACCCCATTGTCACCTGGGGGGGGGGACCCCATTGTCACCTATGGGGGGGACCCCACTGTCACCTATGGGGGAGGACCCCATTGTCACCTATGGGGGGGACCCCACTGTCACCTATGGGGGGGACCCCATTGTCACCTATGGGGGAGGACCCCGTTGTCACCTATGGACACCCCACTGTCACCTATGGGGGGGGACCCCACTGTCACCTATGGGGGGGACCCCACTGTCACCTATGGGGGAGGACCCCACTGTCACCTATGGACACCCCACTGTCACCTATGGGGGGGACCCCACTGTCACCTATGGACACCCCATTGTCACCTATGGGGGGGGACCCCATTGTCACCTATGGACACCCCACTGTCACCTATGGACACCCCATTGTCACCTATGGGGGGACCCCATTGTCACCTATGGACACCCCATTGTCACCTATGGGGGGGACCCCACTGTCACCTATGGGGGAGACCCCATTGTCACCCATGGACACCCCATTGTCACCTATGGGGGAGACCCCATTGTCTCTATGGGTCATTGATCCCATCGGGGTGCCAGTGACACCATTGGGGTGCCAGTGACTGTATTGCGGTACCATTGACCCCATCGGGGTGTCATTGATCCTAATGGGGGTGCCATTGATCCCATTGGGGTGCCATTGACCCCATCGGGGTGTCATTGATCCCATCGGGGTGCCAGTGACCCCATGGGGGTGCCATTGACCCCATGGGGGTGCCATTAATCCCATCGGGGTGCCATTGATCCCAGTAGGGTGCCAGTGACCCCATGGGGGTGCCATTGATCCCATTGGGGGTGCCATTGACTCCAATGGGGTGCCATTGACCCCACTGGGGTGCCATTGATCCCATTGGGGTGCCATTGATCCCAATGGGGTGCCAGTGACCCCATCGGGGTGCCATTGATCCCATCGGGGGGCCGTTGACCCCATCGGGGTGCCAGTGACCCCATGGGGGTGTCATTGATCCCATCGGGGGGCCATTGACCCCATCGGGGTGCCATTGATCCTAATGGGGGTGCCATTGACCCCATTGGGGTGCCATTGATCCCAGTGGGGTGCCATTGACCCCAGCGGGGTGCCATTGATCCCAAGGGGGTGCCATTGACCCCATGGGGGTGCCATTGATCCTAATGGGGGTGCCATTGACCCCATTGGGGTGCCATTGATCCTGATGGGGGTGCCATTGACCCCATCGGCGTGCCATTGACCCCACTGGGGAGCCATTGATCCCATTGGGGTGCCATTGATCCCAAGGGGGTGCCATTGACTCCATTGGGGGGGTGCCATTGATCCCATTGGGGGGGTGCCATTGATCCCATTGGGGTGCCATTGACCCCATTGGGGGGGTGCCATTGACCCCATTGGAGTGCCATTGATCCCATTGGGGTGCCATTGATCCCAAGGGGAGCCATTGAACCCATCGGAGTGCCATTGACCCCAAGGGGGTGCCATTGAACCCATTGGGGGTGCCATTGACCCCATCGGGGTGCCATTGATCCCATTGGGGGTGCCATTGACTCCAATGGGGTGCCATTGACCCCACTGGGGTGCCATTGATCCCATTGGGGTGCCATTGATCCCAATGGGGTGCCAGTGACCCCATCGGGGTGTCATTGATCCCATCGGGGTGCCATTGACCCCATCGGGGTGCCAGTGACCCCATGGGGGTGTCATTGATCCCATCGGGGGGCCGTTGACCCCATCGGGGTGCCAGTGACCCCATGGGGGTGTCATTGACCCCATCGGGGTGCCATTGATCCTAATGGGGGTGCCATTGACCCCATTGGGGTGCCATTGATCCCAGTGGGGTGCCATTGACCCCATCGGGGTGCCATTGATCCCAAGGGGGTGCCATTGACCCCATGGGGGTGCCATTGATCCTAATGGGGGTGCCATTGACCCCATCGGGGTGCCATTGACCCCACTGGGGAGCCATTGATCCCATTGGGGTGCCATTGATCCCAAGGGGGTGCCATTGACTCCATTGACCCCATTGGGTGCCCATTGACCCCATTGGGTGCCATTGACCCCATTGGGTGCCCATTGACCCCATTGGGTGCCATTGACCCCATTGGGTGCCATTGACCCCATTGGGTGCCATTGATCCCAAGGGGAGCCATTGAACCCATCGGAGTGCCATTGATCCTATGGGGGTGCCATTGACCCCAAGGGGGTGCCATTGAACCCATTGGGGGTGCCATTGACCCCATCGGGGTGCCATTGACCCCAAGGGGGTGCCATTGAACCCATTGGGGGAGCCATTGACCCCATTGGGGTGCCATTGATCCCAATGGGGGTGCCATTGACCCCATTTGGGTGCCATTGATCCCAATGGGGGTGCCATTGAACCCATTGTGGGAGCCATTGACCCCGTCGGGGTGCCATTGATCCCAATGGGGTTGCCATTGAACCCATTGCGGGAGCCATTGACCCCGTCGGGGTGCCATTGACCCCATTGGGGGTGCTATTGATCCTAATGGGGGAGTCCCATTGATCCTAATGGGGGGTCCCATTGACCCCACTGATCCCAATGTGGGGTCCCATTGACCCCAATGGGGTGATCCCATTGATCCTAACGGAGGGGTCCCATTGACCCCAATGGGGGATCCCATTAACCCCATTGATCCCAATGCGGGGTCCCATTGATCCCAATGGGAGTCCTGTTGACCCCATTGATACCAAAGGGGGATCCCATTGACCCCATTGATCCCAATGGGGGGTCCCATTGACACCAATGGGGGGATCCCATTGACCCCAGTGGGGGTTCCATTGACCCCATTGATCCTAATGGGGGGTCCCCTTGACCCCAATGTGGGGGTCCTATTGACCCCAGTGTGGGGTTCCATTGATCCCAATGGGGGGTCCCATTGATCCCATTTACCCCAATGTGGGGGTCCCTTTGACCCCAATGGAGGCGTCCCATTGCCCCACCAACACCAGTGTGGGGGGTCTCATCGCTCCTAATGGGGGGCTCCCATTAACCCCAATGGGGGGGGTACCATTGCCCCAGTGTGTGGGTCCCCTCACCCCACTGACCCCAATGTGGGGGTCCCATCACCCCCAGTGTGGGGGTTCTATCACGCCATTGATCCCAGTGTGCGGGTCCCATTGACTCCAATGTGGGGGCCCCATCGATCCCATTGTGAGGGTCCCACTGCCCCACTGTGGGGGTCCCCTCACCCCCTATGTGTGGGTCCCTTTGCCCCCCAGATGAGCGACTGCTTGACCAGCATCAGGGCAGTGAACAGGACGGACGCCCTGAGCCTGCTCAGCACCTTTGGGGTGAGTCCTGATGACCCCCCCCCCCCTCCATGGGGCACAGTGGGGCTGGGGGGCACAGCCCTGACCCCCCCCATGTGCCCCCTATGTCGTCCCCCCCAGTCACTTGCAGCAATGGCTGCCGCCACCAAGGAGGATTTATCCCTTTGTCCCGGTGTGGGGCCCCAAAAGGTGAGGTGGGGGCTATGGGGGGAGACACACACACACACGGTGTCCCCCATTGTCCTCTCATGGGCCCCCCATGTCGTCCCCCCCATAGGCCAAGCGCCTCTTTGATGTCCTGCATGAGCCCTTCCTGCAGACCCCCAAGTGAGCGCCGACCCCAATCCATAATAAAATGGGCTTTATCCATGGAACGGCTTCAAAAGAGGGGCACTATGGGGGTTATGGGGCAATGGGGGAATGGGGGCTATGGGGTAGTGGGGGTCAATGGGGCTATGGGGGTAATGGGGCAATGGGGGCTATGGGGGTTATGAGGCAATGGGGGTTATGGGGGCTATGGGGCAATGGGGGCTATGGGGCAATGGGGGTTATGGGGGTAATGGGGCAATGGGGGTTATGGGGGTAATGGGGCAATGGGGGCTATGGGGGTTATGAGGCAATGGGGGTTATGGGGGCTATGGGGCAATGGGGGCTATGGGGCAATGGGGGCTATGGGGGTTATGAGGCAATGGGGGCTATGGGGCAATGGGGGCTATGGGGCAATGGGGGTTATGGGGGCAATGGGGGTAATGGGGCAATGGGGGTAATGGGGGTAAGGGGATAATGGGGTTAATGGGGCAATGGGGGTAATGGGGTAATGGGGGCTATGGGGTAATGGGGGCTATGGGGCAATGGGGGCTATGGGGCAATGGGGGCAATGGGGGCTATGGGGCAATGGGGGGCTATGGGGTAATGGGGGGCTATGGGGCAATGGGGGGCTATGGGGGGCTATGGGGTAATGGGGGCTATGGGGCAATGGGGGCTATGGGGCCATGGGGGTCACCCCATTGCCTCCTCCTTGTGCTTCCCCCTCGTGCCCACCGGGGGGCTCCCCTCGGGGGGCTCCTCCATCGCCTCCTTCTTCCTCTTCTTCTTCTTCTTCCTCCGGGTCTGGGGGGGCTCCGGGGGGGTCCCGAAGCTGCGGGTGATGGAGAGGACCCCGCGGAGGGGGGGGGCGCAGCCCAAGGAGCCGCTTGGGGCCATGGGGGACAGGAGGAGGAGACCCCCGGCCCCCCCCGGCGCCCCCCGCGCCCCATAGACGCAATGGGCGCCGTCGTCCTCAGCAGCGCCCCCGTGCGGCAGGGGCTGGAGCTGCACGGAGTGGTCCAGGGGCACGGAGCATCCCTCCAGGCTGGGGGGGGGCCAGGATGGGGGGGGGGGAAATGGCGCTGCTGCACCCCCACATAGCGCTGACACCGCCACCAGGCACCCCAATGCTCTGTGCCCCCCCATGCACCCCCAATGCTCCCTGTGCCCCCCAATGCTCTCTGCCCCCCCCATGCCCCCAATGCTCTGTGCCCCCCCAGTGCTATGTGCCCCTTGCGCCCCCAATGCTCTGTGCCCCCCAATGCTCTGTGCCCCCCGTGCCCCCCAATGCACCCGCAATGCTCTCTGTGCCCCCCATGCCCCCCAATGCTCTGTGCCCCCCAATGCTCTCTGTGCCCCCCCATGCACCACAATGCTCTGTGCCCCCCGTGCCCCCCAATGCTCTGTGCCCCCCCATGCCCCCCAATGCTCTGTGCCCCCCAATGCTCTCTGTGCCCCCCCATGCGCCACAATGCTCTGTGCCCCCCGTGCCCCCCAATGCTGTCTGTGCCCCCCATGCCCCCCAATGCTCTGTGCCCCCCAATGCTCTCTGTGCCCCCCCATGCACCACAATGCTCTGTGCCCCCCTATGCACCCCCAATGCTCTGTGCCCCCCAATGCTCTGTGCCCCCCCATGCACCCCCAGTGCTCTGTGCCCCCCCAAATGCTCTGTGCCCCCCAATGCTCTGTGCCCCCCCATGCACCCCAATGCTCTGTGCCCCCCCCCGCAACCCCACTGCGGCGTGCCCCCCCAATGCTGTGTGCCCCCCATGTCCCCCAATGCTCTGTGCCCCCCCAATGCTGTGTGCCCCCCATGCCCCCCAATGCTCTGTGCCCCCCCAATGCTCTGTGCCCCCCCATGCTCACCAACGCTCTGTGCCCCCCCATGCACCCGCAATGCTCTGTGCCCCCCATGCCCCCTCAATGCTCTGTGCCCCCCCCATGCCCGCAATGCTCTGTGCCCCCCCAATGCTCTGTGCCCCCCATGCACCCCAATGCTGTGTGCCCCCCATGCCCCCCAATGCTCTGTGCCCCCCATGCACCCCCAATGCTCTCTGTGCCCCCCTCATGTCCCCCAATGCTCTGTGCCCCCCCATGCCCCCAATGCTCCGTGCCCCCCAATGCTCTCTGTGCCCCCCCCATGCCCCCCAGTGCTCTGTGCCCACCCATGCCCCCCAATGCTCCGTGCCCCCCAATGCTCTCTGTGCCCCCCCCATGCCCCCCAGTGCTCTGTGCCCCCCATGCACCACAATGCTCTGTGCCCCCCATGCCCCCCAATGCTCTGTGCCCCCCATGCACCACAATGCTTTGTGCCCCCCATGCACCCCAATGCTCTGTGCCCCCCATACCCCCCAATGCTCTGTGCCCCCCGTGCCCCCCAATGCTCTGTGCCCCCCGTGCCCCCCAATGCTCTGTGCCCCTCCAATGCTCTGTGCCCCCCCATGGACCCCAATGCTCTGTGCCCCCACAATGCTCTGTGCCCCCCCCCATGCCCCCCAATGCTCTGTCTGCCCCGCATGCACCCCCAATGCTCTGTGCCCATGCACCCCCAATGCTCTCTGTGCCCCCCTCATGCCCCCCAATGCTCTGTTTGCCCCCCCATGCCCCCAATGCTCCCTGTGCCCCCCAATGCTCTCTGTGCCCCCCATGCACCCCAATGCTCTGTGCCCCACCTGACCCCTAAATGCTCTGTGCCCCCCCCATGCCCCCCCCGTGCCCCCCAATGCTCTGTGCCCCCCATACCCCCCAATGCTCTGTGCCCCCATGCACCCCAATGCTCTGTGCCCCCCCATGCACCCCCAATGCTGTGTGCCCCCCCAATGCTGTGTGCCCCCCATGCCCCCCAATGCTCTGTGCCCCCCCAATGCTCTGTGCCCCCCCAATGCTCTGTGCCCCCCCATGCACCCCAGTGCTCTGTGCCCCCCTCATGCCCCCCAATGCTCTGTGCCCCCCCATGCATCCCCAATGCTCTCTGTGCCCCCCATGCCCCCAATGCTCTGTGCCCCCCATGCACCCCCAATGCTCTGTGCCCCCCATGCACCCCCAATGCTCCGTGCCCCCTCATGCCCCCCAGTGCTCTCTGTGCCCCCCATGCCCCCCAATGTTCTGTGCCCCCCATGTCCCCCCGTGCCCCCAATGCTCCCTGTGCCCCCCAATGCTCTGTGCCCCCCCCATGCCCCCCAATGCTCCGTGTCCCCCCCATGCAACCCCAATGCTCTGTGCCCCCCCAATGCTCTGTGCCCTCCCAATGCTGTGCCCCCCCAATGCCCCCCAATGCTCTGTGTCCCCCCCAATGCTCTCTGCCCCCCCATGCACCCCAATGCTCTCTGCCCCCCCATGCCCCCCAATGCTCTCTGCCCCCCAATGCCCCCCAATGCTCTGTGCCCCCCAATGCCCCCCAATGCTCTCTGTGCCCCCCATGCCCTGTGTGTGCCCCCCCCGCTCTGACCTCTCCGGGTGGAAGTCGGGGGGGGCCCGGATCAGCCACAGCTCGGGGGCGGCCCCGGCCAAGGAGGGGCCCGGGGGGGGCGCGGCCTCGAACTCGGGGGGGCACTGGAACCGCACCGGGCCTGGGGGGACGGGGGGGCACTTAGGGCATGGGCACTTGGGCCCCCCATATCCTCCTGTGCCCCCCCCCCCGTCCCTATGGGCCCCCCCATATCCCCTGTACCCCCCCATGTCCCTATGGAGCCCCCCATATCCCCTGTGCCCCCCCCATGTCCCTATGCCCCCCCCCATGTCCCTGTGCCCCCCCCAATGGTCCCTGTGCCCCCCCCAATGGTCCCTGTGCCCCCCCATGTCCCTGTGCCCCCCCATGTCCCTGTGCCCCCCATGTCCCCCCCATGTCCCCCCACATCTCCCCATGCCCCCCCCATGTCCCTGTGCCCCCCCCCATGGTCCCTGTGCCCCCCCCATGTCCCTGTGCCCCCATGTCCCTGCACCCCCCATGTCCCTGTGCCCCCCCCATGTCCCTGTGCCCCCCCCCATGGTCCTTGTGCCTCCCCCACGGTCCCTGTGCCCCCTCACCCGCACCCCATGGTCCCTGTGCCCCCCCCATGTCCCCTGTGCCCCCCCATGGTCCCCTGTGCCCCCCCATATCCCCTGTGCCCCCCCCATGTCCCTATGGACCCCCCCATATCCCCTGTGCCCCCCCACATGCCCCCCCCATCTGTGCCCCCCATGTCCCTGTGCCCCCCCCCCATGTCCCTGTGCCCCCCATGTCCCTGTGCCCCCCCCATGTCCCTGTGCCCCCCCATATCCCCTGTGCCCCCCATGTCCCTATGGACCCCCCCATATCCCCTGTGCCCCCCCACACGTCCCTATGGACCCCCCCATATCCCCTGTGCCCCCCCATATCCCCTGTGCCCCCCATGTCCCTAT